ATTTCATCTAAAAAAATTAAAATGGTCCAAAAAAAAATGTATAATAGTATCTCAATGATACTAAAATAACACTGCTACACACAGCCCCAGGACTAGAGTTCATCTGTTTCCGGGATACCTGCCCTTAGTTAAATAATAACAGAGCAACGGTCAGTGACAGCAAGATTTCAGCCAGGTTTTAGTGTCAGATAGGCAACAAAACAATGTTGCAGGCCGTATCAAGCAGTCCAGTCATGCGTCCCACAGAAGTCACATGACACACTGCACACAGAATGAAACTATGTGGCTTCTCAGTCAGTCATGAGGCAAACAGCTTGTATCTTGTTCTTAAACAGCCAATGGCGATATTATTTGGTAACCACACTGTGTTAACTGATGCATTTCCAACGTAAAACAAGTTTAGCAGGTGATGAAGCAATTCACTGGCTGTCACATTTAGCAGGAAGTAAAAAGCTGCATAAATTGAGTGACTGTTTATGCCACTAAAAATTAATGTTTGATTTAATGTGACATGACATGCTCCAACTTGAAGTCAAATAACTCTATTTACTTTGCTAATACACATTCCTTATTGTGAACAATTTTTCAGGGCAACTTATTAAAATTAAAAAGATTGTCTTTGAAACTTGTCACGAACATATTGCCTATTAAAAACCCGTCTCCAAATTATAAACAAAATAACAAGAATTATAATAAAATAAATGTATAATATGTTTATATATACATATTTAAAATGTATTTATATATAAATAAAATAAGTCTATTTTATTTCTCATTGAATATCCTGTTTAACCCAGAAGTGCATCACATTATGGAAGTAAAATGGCTTACAGATCCTGTTTTAATGTTGACTATACACTTTAAAGCATTAAACACTTACAACCAGATCTGTGAGATAGTCCTTCTCGTAGTTGTCTCCATGTTTTTCCTCTTTTCCATTCACAGACAGTGTGTAATTGTAATATTTAGAGTTTCCCAACTGTGGAGACACAAATAAAACCAAAAGACTGTTAGATCATCAGTAAAAGGGAAATTAAATAGTTAAAAACCAGATCTGCTTTTGCAGTGCAAGTTGAGACCGCATCACATGACCATCCTAAACCATGCATTCTGCATGAATGCTTGTCTATAGGTGACTGACACTGTCGGATAAGGGAAGTATAGAACATATTGCAGCACATACAGCATTTTTCCCGCTGATCTGAATGTAAAAGGGAAGGAGTCTTGGAATGATGCATCTGTTCATGACTTACCAGTGCATGCCATTGGTCCCAGCCAGGAGGCACATGACCCACACCGCCTGCGTCTTTACTTCCATACTGAGGAGGACACAGAGAGGGATTTATGTATGTAAGCTGAGGGAAAAGCAACTGGAAGAATCTCATGAAACGAGTCAAGAACATGCCAGAGTCATATTTCATCTCTAAGAAAAATTTTTTTTTAGGTTTTAGAAAATTAAGAAATTATATTTTGTTGATGAAATTAAGGTTATTTTATGATTTTTTTGCATTGTGGTATTTTTAAAATAATGCAAAAATTATATTTAATATGTTAATTATATTAAACTGTTATATATATGTGTGTGTGTGTGTGTGTGTGTGTGTATACAGTATATATATACAGATATATATATATATATATATATATATATATATATATACACACACACAGGTGCATCTCAATAAATTAGAATGTCATGGAAAAGTTTTATTGTTTTTATTATTACAAAGTATTTACATAGCAATGGTTGTACTACTGCTGACTGAAATAAATTATTGTATTTTAGTATTTATTTCAGAATAATCATAATTTGGATGTTAAAAGAGCTTAATAATCATGAAGTCAATAAAGTCGCATTACAAAATAAAACTTAATGCTAAAAAGAGGCAAAAACTTTTTTATAAAATTTGGGGTAAAATGTGACCTGGACATGTGGTAGTGAAGAACTTAAGATTACTATAATGCAAAAAGATTATAATATAAATATTGTATAATTAACAAAAATATGCAAAAAAAAAATATTATTTTAAATATTTAAGTAATATAAATAAAAAATTAAATTAAATTAAAAATATTTTATTAAATTATTTAATTTACTCAAATAGTTTTCTTGAATTTGAGGCAATCAGGGAAATAACTGAAAACGAACACAAACATTAGCAGCATTTCAAACTTCTCAAACCCGTAAGAATGTTGTTGGCTTGGAACACTTGAAAGATTGCAAATATTTAAACACGTTGTGCAGAGCTTCTGATATCATTGTAGGCAAATTTCAAAGAACGAGCACCATGCAAATAGGCAAGTGATAGTGTATAGAGCACCAAACGGGACAAAAGCTGACCTGATTCAAGTATTTCCCGCCGTAGAAGGTCTGGTAGCGCATCTTATTGAGGTAAACCGGAAAGGCGAAGGGCTCGGCCTCCTTCTGCCACGCTGTGCCGCTGCAGTTGCCAGAGATGGAGTTATTTCGGACCAAATGATTGTGTGGATATTTCCCAGTGAGGATGCTGCTGCGACTGGGACAGCACAGAGGGGTGGCAGTGAACTAAACACAACAGGAAAAGAGAAACTTGTGATATTTGATCAGATCCATTAAAAAAAAATCTTTGGATCATGACTAAGCACTCACAGCATTGGAGAAAGTCACACCAGCATCACCGATCAGTGCTTTGGTCTTCTTCATAGGCATCTGTGAATAAAAAAGATTCTATGAGATGGCTATAGTGTCGATATGATGCATCATCTGTAACTAAGTGTCAACAGGATGTATGATTTCACACACTAATTTTAGCCGAATAACTTGTTCCTGGACTTGATTCTTTAAACAACAGCAGTTTCAATATGACTTTAACATGGGACTGGTTTAACCTAGCCTAGTAGTTTTATAATCACAACATTATTTGCATGATGCTGAAGTACATCATTTTTTTTATTTCAGTCAGCACTAGGACAATAAATGCTACGATGTATACTTTTACATTTAAATAATGCATTTTAATATATATTTAAAAATGTAATATTTTTGCATTATCTGTGCATGTATCTGTTAATAAATGTGCTTAATTTTTGTGAAAAAATGTCAATGTAAAATCCTAAAATAGCAAGGTTTTACACACACATACCACACAAAATTTCTATGGACAAATGGAGTACTAACTTATATATACACATGCAGAAAAATCAATGCAAAATTGCCTAGTACAGAAAATTCTACGATGTATAAATACTGCTGCATTTAAATAAACATATTTAAAATAATGTTATCAATTTTTGCAGTATCAGAATGAGAATTGGGAAATTAAATGTGCTTGTTTTTCATGATAAAATGTCACAATTTAAAGAAATAAATTGATTTCATCAACGAAATATTTCCTAATTTTGTTCTGTTTGAATCTGAGGTGAATATAGTATATACATATACAGAGTACTAATGTTTGTATGTACATACACCAAGGTAGTACCATTGTTTTTTTGGAAGTTCACTTAAGTACTATGTCAACATTATGGTGCATAAATTTCAGTGCCATTGTATTACCATCTAAAATCACTGTTACCAGCAAGACAACACCACAGTACTTTGTGAAGAAGTGATACTGTCATGGTACACGACAATTAAAAAAAGCACTTGAAGTCTAATTTTGTTCACTTACCATTCCCCCCATCTCCACATCCTGGTCGTCGGTGAGAATGAGGATGATGTTGCTCAGTTTGACGCATTGTGAACACCTGAGCGTGCAGGTGAGAAGCGCGACAAATAGACAGGTGGACACCACACGCGAACTCGCCATGAGGACAAAACCAGACCAAACCCGCAACCTGTCTGCCTGAGAAACGGTGTCAAGCAGACGAGGGTTATGAGTGGCGAACAGCAGCACAAACGGTGGGATGAACTGAGAAAGTTTGAGGAAGTGAGACGCTCTGTGTGTCATATGACTGCAACCTGATCTAACAGCTGATGCACTCACAATCAAGTCACAGTTCATAATCAAGTAACAACATTCAAAAAAAAAAAAAAAATTCGCTCTTTTAGAGTTTTTTTTTAACACAAAGTTTGTGTCCGTTTAAAACCCGTGCTCTAGTTTTTTCGTTGTTTTAAAATGTTTTATTAATTATTATTTATCGCTCTGATAACAAACAAAAATCCAAAATACTTATTTTTTTTAGCCATTTAATTTAAAAACGACAAATGTAAGTTTATAATTTATATGTCAGACGAAAATGATATATTCCTATATTTTTCGTTTATTCACGTATGTAATAAGAATTCAGTGTAAATGAATAAAGAGAAATATAGAACAAACATGACACCTCAAATGAACAACATTACTCTCAAATTAACAAAATAAAAGTTTTATCAAACACGACCGTGTGCGTTTTATTGCAAGGTCACATCCTCACACCCTCCCTTTCACGTGATTGTGTGTTATTGTTTTATAATCGCATATGACATAGTATTGTAAATGCATTTGAAGATCACTGCCCTTTCGTATTTATTATTTTATTTTTTATTATGTTACTGTGATTTAAGTTATTGTGGCAACCGACGTCTGCACCCAGTCGGAACACTTTATGGGTGCACCAAAACTTTCTCAACATGTGTATCACCCAAAATAGATCCCCCTGGATACAATCCTACGAGACATGAGGTCTGTCTTCCGAGAGGTGGCGCCTGTGGCCCAAAAACCTGAGCTCTCGTTTGATTCACATTCAAATGTGAAGCTGCTTTACGTTTTTGAAGGCGTTTGTTTACAGCGCTATTATCGATCAAATGTATTAATCGATATTCTTGATCCTAATTCGAATCTTCCAGAACAATATCTATAAGTGATTTTAGAATTCATTTCCAGTAATCACAAACGGCTGTGATTGGTCCATCTTCACCAGCGCAGAGAAACGTACCAGATACCACGTGATAACACTGCACCCTTTAGCAGCGACCAGGACAACTTTTAATTTAAAAATTATACTCATAAGATTAGTTTCATTTTAAAAACACCAAGTGAATAGCTCAAACAGAATAATTATTTTCTATAGAGACAACTTTCGGTCCAGCGGTGCGCACTTGTTTCACGATAACTGCCGTTCTATTTACGTTTTTATTTCTGTGACACCTTTTCCCTCAGTCTGGTGGAAGCGCAGAAATAAGCACAGAGCGTCTGATCTGATCTACTCTGTGGTGGTAGATGGGGTGATGAAGGTTAGATGTTTTTAGTGTTTGCTCTAGACTATGATCCCATTAAAACGCAGGAAAGCCTCTCTACCTGTAAGCCAACAGGATGACACCTGTAAATTTCCCCATGTTTCTATATTCATCTTGGAGAGGAAGATGGGAACATCTAGAAGAGCATTTCTTACACGACTAGGACGGAGCAAAGGATTTCTTATTAAAGAAACCTACAGGTACGAACCATCAGCACTTTACTATGATATGCTTTTTTATAGGGATGGACTATTTTTGAAACTTTTGGACTATTCCTGTTTGTTTTACTCTTACAGTTCCTCCATCACACATGTTGTGTCAGAAAACAACAGTGGAGATGAAGTCCAGGCCTGGCTGGACAACCAAACTGGACGAGACGCCTCCAGTTCTGTCCATTTGTTGGACATCAGGTGGTTTACGGAGAGCATGGAGGCAGGACATCCTGTTATAGTTCAGGACAGACACATATTAAAGGTACAAGGACACATTTATGGACCCGTTACTTTTAAAAGAACAGTTGAACTAAGTATTTAGACGTGTTGCAGGTTAACCCAAAACCCAACGGAGACCCCACAGCAATGCTGATGAAAAGTTACGCCTGTCAAAGACGAACGCCTTTAAAACACCACAATTCATTTCTAACAGTGAGTTATTTATTGTCTTTTTCTAATAATGTATCTGAACAGTTTGATGAACAGTTTGGCACTCTGTCCCGCAGGAGGCTCTTGAAATCTTGTCTCAGAATGCCGAATACAATGATAATGAAGGACGGAGCGTGGCGTTCAGACGGGCGGCATCAGTCTTGAAGGCGCTTCCCCGGCGCGTGAGGAGCATGCAGGATCTGAGGTGTTTGCCCTGCCTGGGTGACCATTCACAGAGAGTTATAAAGGTGATAATCAAGCTCCCTTATCTTCTCAAAAATCCATGTTATCTAGATGCATCTGTTAATAAGGCTATTTCACCTTTTTAGGAGATTTTAGAAGATGGATCATCAAGAGAAGTAGAGTCAACAAGACAATCAGAGCAATATCAGGCCATGAAGGTAAAGATGGGTAGTAGTCAAAAGTCAAAGTCACTTTTATTGTCACATCACCACAGCACATGTGCCTTGGATAGTCGTACTATATTCTGTTTTTGCAGAAAGAATTGTGAAGGCAGTGTAAATGATATGCCTGATTGGTCAGCTTTAGTGTGTGGATTATGAGGTCATATCTTCCCTTTCTGCAGGCACTAACTGGTATTTTCGGGGTGGGTGTGCGGACGGCAGATCGCTGGTTTAGAGAGGGTTTGCGATCTCCAGACGATTTGATTCGCAGAGGACAACAGTTGAACCGTGAACAGCAAGCAGGTACTGCATTTCACTGTTGAAAATTATTATTTAGTTATTTGTAATTACATTCATAAATAAAATAAAAAAATAATTGATTCATGATTGAATGTATATATATGTGTATGTGTGTGCGTGCGGGTGTGCGTGTATATGTGTATGTGTATATATATATATATATATATATATTGTTGCTGTTTTTTGTTTTATTGTTTGCTGTTTTTTTCTTTGTGTGTGTGTGTATATATATATATATATATATATATGTATATACACATTTTGGGTGAATATTTTGGTGGGGCGCTGCCCACATGGCTGTTGCTCCTATAACAGCTTTTTTATCAGTTCTTTTGTCTTTGGGTCGTTATATTTCTCAGAGATTTCTGCTCATTCTAAATCAGATACAGAAAAAGCAGCACAGTAAAGATTACATTCATATGAATGCATTAGTGAGAAATATATAAATTTAAAACATAAAATACTTTTTTGATAAGCTGCTGCCAATTCACCACATTATATATGTAAAAAAAAAATTTTTTTCTTTTAACTTTTAAATGATTTGGTTAATTAGTTTAATTAAATTATTTTCATGTTTTTTTTTTTTTATTCTACAATATAAAGTACATGTTTTCAAAATATTTGCATGAAGCAACTTTTAAAGGGATAGTTCACCCAAAAATGAAAATTCTGTCATTAATTACTCACCCTCGTTCCAAACCCGTAAGACCTCCGTTCATCTTCAGAACACAAATTAAGATATTTTAATGGAATCTGAGAGCTCTCTGACCCTCCCATAGACAGCAAGGATCCTAACACGATCAAGGCTCAGAAACGTAGAAAGGAGATCGTTAAAATAATCCATGTAACATCAGGGGTTCAATCGTAATTTTACGAAGCTACGAGAATACTTTTTGTGCGCAAAGAAAACAAAAATAACGACTTTATTCAACAATTTGTCTCCTCCGCGTCATCCTATAGCGCCATTTTGGGGAGTATCACATACGTAAACGTATGCTGTTCTGTGTCGGCAGCACCGTACGCGGATCCTGTTCACGCTTTGATCTGAACATAAACAACGTATCCACGTACATGCGTTACGAGGAGATGAATTGTTGAATAAAGTCATTATTTTTGTTTTCTATGGAGGGTCAGAGAGCTCTCGGAATGCATAGAAAATATCTTAATTTGTGTTCCAAAGATGAATGTCGAATATATATTTTATTCATTTAGCAGGCGCTTTTATAGCGAAAGCGACTTACAAATGAGGACAATGGAAGCAATCAAAATCAACAAAAGAGCAATGATATGCAAGTGCTATGACAAGTCTCAGTTAGCCTAATGCATATATATATATATATATGACCTCTGACCTCAGGAGTCCAGTATTACGATGACCTCCAGAAACCCGTCACTAAGGTGGAGGCTGATGTCATCAGTGATATCGTTGAGAAAGCTGTGCACGCTGTGCTGCCCGGAGCAGAGATCCAGCTCATGGGAGGCTTCAGGAGGTCTGTGTTCTAATGATGTGCGGATCTTACCTTAATACTGTAGCTTCAAAGCAGTTTGGAGTCTTCATGTGCATTTTAGGTCGTCAAATTAATTTGTATAGTGCTTTTCACTATACATATTGATTAACAGTATCTTTACAGAAAATACTGATGTTAATGTTTCTAATATCTTAATATTTTCATGTCTTATAGCAGCATTTAGCAGATTAGAGCTGGACAATAATATAGTTTACATTCTGTGATGATATGAAAAATCAACAAGTTGAGATTTGCTATAGATTGCTTATCGTTAGTATACTGTATGTATGCGAATAAAGTTGGATACATTTCCAACTTTATAAACAGAGCTGTACAATAATATGATTTACATTTTGCAACTATATAAACAAACACTCGTGGTTTACTATACTGTATATATTGCTTTACATGATAATACTGTATATATGTGAGTAAAGTTGAATGTACTATATATATACATCTTTATTTGCTATATATATTTTAGGGGGAAGGAAGTCGGTCACGATGTGGACTTTCTCATAACACATCCAGAGGAAGGAAAAGAGGAAGGACTGATGCCTAAAATCACAAACTGGCTGAAGGAGCAGGTGCTCGTGAAGTTCTGTGAATACTTGTATGATTAAATCCACCCAGTATGGCTGTTTGCTGATGACATTTTAAAGTGAGTATTTATGTTGAATGACAAAGTAGCATGTGTTATTTCATCAGGGTTTACTGCTGTATCAGAAGACGACCAGAAACTCTTATCTGGAAAAAATGGATGGTCCAGCTCGGGCGTCTAGTAACATGGATCGCTTTGAGAGATGCTTTTCCATATTTAAGCTTCAGAAATCTGCTGTGAGCTGCAAGTCGAGTTCCACTGCTTCTGCTGAGGACGTCAGTACAGCACGTGAAAGTGAACGACCCGGTGAGCATCATTCAGAAGCGTCCGGCTGGAGAGCTGTACGGGTCGATCTGGTGGTCAGTCCCTACAGTCAGTTTGCCTTCGCCACTCTCGGATGGACCGGCTCAAAGGTGTGTAGCTTCCTCACTTCCGAATGATCCAAAGGGCACTGCTTTTTATTTCTGTTTTTTTGTGTGTTTGGTTTTAGTTGAAAATTTGTTTGGTTGTGATTGAAATGAACACTTTTAGAAGTACTTTTTAAGTACTCAATTCAGTCATTTTCATAGTAGTCAGATCACAGATTATTGGTTGAAAAATAATGATAACATTTTGTTTTTATTTTCTACCATTTTTGTAGTAAATAATAATTTCTTAATGTCTGATTCTCAACTTTTGATTAATTTCATTGGTGTTTGATTTATTTGATAAATATTTTTGTATTGATTATAAAATATTATAAATGTTTTCATAAATTCAAAAATATTTTAATGAAACAACTTACTATATATATATATATATATGTACTTTGTTTAGTAATAAACATAGTAGTCAGATCACTGGTTATTGATGATGATTTTTAAAGATTTTATGAAAATATATTTTTTTATACTGTGTGTGTGTGTGTGTGTGTGTGTGTGTGTGTGTGT